CCAAAACCATAAATTTCCGGGGGGCGACAGTTTTAATAGTAGGGGAGGCTTTAATAATAGGGGAAGGGATTAGACATTATGAAGCTCCACAGACGTCAAGACCTCGACACCCCAGAATCGAGCCCGTCCGTGCATGCATGGCCCAATTCTTCGACCCTCTCTGATCTCAGTTGCGCGCTTTTTCATACCCGCTGGGGATTCAGGGTTTTGGGGGATGCAGAAGGCAAGTATTTTTGCTTACATGTGGCTACGTTGGAAGTTTAGGTCTTGGTTCGGGGCTTTCGGCTTAAGGACGGGTCAAGGCTGCTTGGGTGTTTTTATTTGTCAAGATTCCAGTGTTCTCAGGAAATCAATGGTTGTTGTGGAGAGCGCCGTCAAGGACTGTTGGCTGGAAGTTCCGTAGTCGCAGCTGATGATCGGGATGGGTCTGATCATACAGGCTGACCGTGCGGGGCAGCCTACCGCTCTGATTTAGACTGCTTTGGAGTTGGACCGATCCACCTTGAACCTTCTGAACCGGGGGCACGTTTTGTTGATCATGATCTGGGGTTTCAGGTTTGGAAGCTTTCAGGACTAGAGCCACGGGCAACAGGCCGAACAGCAAACTTATAAATCGAGAGTTTCGGACTTCATCATGACTACAACTACACCCGCTGACCTCCGACATGTCAATGTTTTCCCAAAGCGCACAGGCCTTATCCATGAAGCTGTTGTGGTAAGCAGAAAGTCTTAACAGTGAAACGTAAGAGTGAAGCCTGAAATCTTTCAGTTGAAAGCTCACAAATGCAGAGCCAGCTGTTTGGGGGGTTAACGGGGTTAAGGGGGTTTAGGATTAAGCAGGGTTTAGGGTTTAGGATTTAGGATTGCCCAAGGCCTTCAGCACTGCGTTCATCAAGCCACGGAAGCAACTCCCCCCCTCAGACCACATCACCCAGCAGAAGGGAGTGACGTGGAGCCGTTTGACCTGGATATCAATACCTGCAGATGTTCTTTAATTTGTAGTCGCAGTTTTGGCTAACCCGTTTTACGGTGAGGATCCTATGATTCGGAAAGCCAGGTTTAATAGCGAAAGCAAGCTCATGGTTTATAAGTCTATTTGTAGTGCCCTTCTACGCTTAGGATCCTAACAACACAAGAAAGCTTAACCCAAACCCTAGAGCCTAAGCCCCTAAATCCTAAACCCTAAACCCGGGAAAAAAAGCCCCTAAACCCTAAACCCGCTTGTGGCTCGAGGCTTACCGACCTGAGACAGACAAAAGCGTAAGGGGAGAGCGGACCTCGATAGCAATGCCACTGCGGCAGAGTTTGAAGACTTCAGCGTTCAGGGGTAGGGGGTTTTAAGAGGGGTTTATCAGGGTTTGAGGTTTAGGGTTTAGGGCTCCTACAGGGTTTAATCGGGGTTTAGGGTGTTGGGTTTGAGGTTCAGAACTTATGTTTAGAGACTATGAGTTATATGGGGCCTATAGGCAAGAGTTTCTGGAGGGTTCAGTTTACCCTGTGCGCAGGTTCAGGATTTAGTAGACCCTGAGCCCTGTAAATCGGGATTTCCTATTCTGGATCTCTTGTGGTGACCATGATTCTAACCCTTAACCCTAATCCCCTAAACCTTAAACCCTTTCGCTCAGAACTTCTTTTGAACTCGAAGGCCTCAAGCCCCACAATCTACAGGACGAAATAAGATCAATAATGTGAATCATCATGGGTTTAGGGTTTTAGGGTTTAGGGTTTTAGGGTTTAGAGTTCGGGGTTTAGGACTATATAAGCCCTGAAGCCCAAATTCTCCATCCTGCACGCCAGTTTTAGCCCTAAACCACTCGACAAGTCCTTCTCGTGCAATTTGATGGGCAAGATGGGGCAAGTGTCAAGAATTAGGGGCCGTTGTTCGTAACTACAGTTTCGATGTCGGGAGTGTGAACCTTATAGATACTAAATGCTAGGTTCATCGTTCCGAGCACCACTCCCTCCCCTCCCCCTTGCCAAACCGAAAGAAGAACACTGTGAGTTTCGCGCAATATTTACACAACGCGCTCGCTAAACCTTATAAACCCCTAAACCCCTAACCCTTAAACCCCTAAACCCCTAAACCGTAAACCCCTAAACCCCTAAACCTTAAACCCTAAACCCTTACCCTAAACCCTAAAGGAACAAAAGCTTAAAACATAAAATAAAAAACTAAAACCCTCATCTTGGGCCTGGGCCGTCTACCCTCGAACCCGACAGTTCATCATTGCTTTTCTGAGAGCCCTCCAAAGGAAGGTGCCGAAGGTTCCGATCTCAGGAGACCAAGCCGGAATAGTGAGAACCCACCCAGAGGTTTCCTTGGGGCTTGAGGGATTTCGGGTGTAGTTTAGGGCTTCATAGGGATGTAGGATGTGTGGTTGAGGATCCAAGAGTAAGGGACCTCAGGTGTTGAAGAAGAAGGTGCGAAGCCGGACATCTGGAGATCCGATACTTTCTAAATCCTAAGCCATGCAAGGCTGAGGGGACTTGTTAAGTTAGAGTAAAGCTTTAGTGACCCTCATTAATTGGGTTCACCCTTGTGACTTGCAATATAAGACCAGCAAGCAAAGAGCAGAATCTCGTCCAGACTATGGGTCGGGCCCACACTGATACAACCCGACACCTTCAGTGAGCCAGGCGCAGTGTGAGCTCTACCGCAAGCGCCAAGCACAAATTCTCACGCGGTTACTCTCAAGAGTCCATGGTCAAGTGCCTTCGGCATGTTTGGAGCTTAGGGTGCTGTATGATCGGAAGAACCTATAGCCAAAATGCATGGCTTGTTTTTTCGCGCACTTCGGATTTGGAAAGGCTGAAGGACATATAGGTGTCGAATAGTAGTTGACAGAAAGAGTCTAAGGGTTCAGGGTTTAGGGTCATTTCTACCAGAATATATCCCCAAACCGTATTGTAATTATGAAGGCTCTTGGCCCCCCCATGGACCCAAAGCCCCGGAACCCGTAAGGACCCTCAACGGAACCCGCATTTCCGGACGGCCGCCCCTTCCCATCCCCGATGAAACACCGGAATGCAATGCTCTTGAATTTCGTCGAGCCTCTTGCACTGCCTTCGCCTGACTATAATGGAATAGGGTTCCTTGAGAACGGGGTCCATTCGGGCTAGTCTAAGGGTTCTGTAACAAAGCGGGACTTCATAGTTTGAACAGGGTTTGTGTAGATGAGAGCACAAGTATATCGGGGCACTCATTTTTTTCGTCTTCAAGGGATGCTAGAATCTGTTATGTTTAGAACCCTATATCGATACTTTTTGCTAGCCCGTCTCCTGGCTGCAGAGGCTTACGGCGGTTTCACCTGGAACCACCAACCCCAAAGATGCAGGGGGGTTTAGGCATCCCCACAGGCTCCATGTACCTTTATAGTAGTGACTTAAGCCTTAAAGGGGTCCCTGTATAGGTACTTTAGGGCTTATGTTTCTTCTTTTAAGGTAAATGGAGCCTTTGGGATCATCAACTCGAAACAGTATTGACCTCCAAGAGCACCTTAGAGTATGCGGCCATGCAATGCAGGGGCCTTAAAAGTTAGAATGGGGTTTTGGGGCCCCCGTATTATAGTTATAGTAGAATATACTCCAAAACCCTATTCTAATTATGACGGCTCTTACATTAACCCTACTTAGAGCTGGAGTTTAGGGGTTGGGATTGCCAGGTGTCTTGAGACCCATTGAGCCAGAACCCTACCCTGAGCCTCAGCCCTAAACTATATACCAATTAATTTGGGGTTTAGGGTTTAGGGCTGAGTCGTCCACAAAGGCAAAACCCTAAACCGCACCGAAAACCTAAACCCCTGGCGCCCTAAACCCTAAAAAACCCGATAAGCTCGAAACCAAACGATCAAACGCACCCGGTCCATGGCTCTAAATATCCTAATCCCTACAACCCCTAACCCCCTAAACCCTAAACCCCTAAACGCCTAAACCCTAAACCCCTAAACCGCTAAACCGCAAACAGAGGAGCCTGAGGGGAAGCAAAAACCTACAGAAAACGTGGGCCGCTGCCTGACATCCCACGAGCCTCTCAAAGGCCGCCCTGAACAGAAAGACCTTTAAACGCCAATTTAGGGTTTAGGGTTTGGGGTTTAGGTTTAGGGGTAGGGTTTAGGGTTTAGGGTTTAGGGTTTAGGGTTTAGGGTTTAGGGTTTAGGTTTAGGGGTAGGGTTTAGGGTTTAGGGTTAGGATTCTAGTTTTAGGATTTCAAGACTTGGGGTTTGGGTTTGTAGGATTTAGGTTTTAAATGGGGTCGAGGGGGTTAGTCAAAGACGACGGTATCCTTGTGAATCGCAATCCAGAGTGTCAGCCCAAGCAAAAGCATCGGAGTACAAGCACACGAGAGTCAGAATAGACACAAATGTCTTTAACCCTGAACCCTAAACCGTTAAAAGTGGCAATAAAGCCCGACATCCCGAATCCTAAAGCCCCACGTCCTGGCCATAAGTCCTATAGGCACCAAAGCCGAAGAGCCCAGGAGCATGAGCTCCACCAAGAGCGCGCACCGGCCTCGTGCACCAATCGGTGGCTTCGCTCCGCCTTCCTCCGGCCCTCCGATGCAGCGGCTGCTTGCATTGACTTTTTGTGCTGTCTGCAGGGCTTTGGACTTATCGTTCAGAGTTTAGGTTTAGGGTTTAGGCTATATGCATATATATATATATATATGTATAATCGACTCGTCCGATGATGACCGCTCCCCCCATCTCCGCAATTTTCGGACCCAAAACTGGTTATATTTGCCTGTATCGAAGCTCTCGCTCCCTCCCTCCCTCTCTCTCTCTCTGTCTCTCTCTCTTCCTCCCCGCGAGAGAGAGTTTCTGTCTAGGGGTTATCCGGGCATCCGAAAATTACGATGGCAAGAACAGGTGCGTACTAGAACGAATGGGTTGAGTTGAGAATTGCAGCCACGAGGGGCCGCAGCAACGTGGACTGCAGGCACCGGGAACTGCAGGCTGCAGCAACTGCAGCAGGAAACGTAAGACTGAAAGGCTTGTTCGGCCTGCCAAACCCTACGGGTCCATGTACCCAGATGGTATATACTTTGGCCTTAAAGTAGTCCTTATATAAGTACCTTGGGGGCCAATGTATATACTTTTTGGGTACATGGACCCTCAGGGAAAGGAAGGTGTTAGAATAAAGCACGAGCAATGGGAAGATTCACAGTCGTCACCGGCACCCCAAAACATTAACATGCCTTCAGGAAACCCAGAGTGGTATTGCGGCGGGTGGGTTGCTTAAGAACCGGGGGAAGACAATACATGTGTGTATATGTGTAAGTATGTATGAACGCATGGATGGATGGATGGACGGATGGATGGAAGGCTGTATGCATGTATGCATGTATGTATGTATGCTTTTATATATACCTGTATTTATGTTTGATGTATGTGTTTATGCATGCATGCATGCATGCATGCATGCATGCATGCATGCATGTATGTATGTACGCATGTATGTTGTACATACACACGAATTATAACCTATACCATAAAACACTTTTACACCATCGGTCTTCCTGAGCTGCAGATTCCTTGTTGGGCAGTAGTCAGACGAAATGCTTCAGTCTCCCTACTTAGCCCTTTAAGGGTTCCTTCAAGGGGCCCGATAAGGATTCCGTTAAGGGTCTATTGGGTACCGTAGTAGCGGAGTTGGTAACCTTCAACTGCTTTCTGATACTATAACCCCTACAGAGTCCCAAAGCTTTACCGGCTTCATCTCTAGTTTCCCTAGGATACCGGACAAGAACGTCTATGTGTGATAAAAAGAGGGGTTTGGAGCATAGGTTTGTGGCAAAGGCTACTGTAGACCTCATGGCTTGGAGGTGAAGGGTTACGGGCTTTCGGGAATCCAGGGGCCTTTGTTGTCTGGGGGGGCCCTTTCAGATATCAGCTTTACATATTCCTTTATTCCCCTTGAGGTTTTTATCTCGTCACGCCTTTGCAGATGATTGAATAAATATCTACATATATATATATATATGTATACATATATATATATATATGTATACATATATATATGTATACATATATATATATACATATATATATATAGGGGCATGAACTTCTCTTGGCATCTAGACCTAGGCTTCAGAGAGCAGGCCTTACAGAGCATGGCAGTACTAGGATCACGTCTGAACCTTCAACGCTAAGCTGGTCGAAGCAGGCTCGGAAGGTGTTCATGTACATGTATGGCCGAGAGTCTTCAGGGCATACTTGGAGGATCATTGGATTTAGTAAGTAAGGTTGTAAGTCCACTAATTGGGGTTATAAGTATAGTTACCTTAATTGTAATCCTACTTACTAAGTCCCATGATCCTTTAAGTAAGGGTTTGGTTACGCCAATCAACCTTGAAACCCATTCAAAGCTACGGATAGGGCTTGGGGCTTGGGTTCCTGACTCCTGAATCCTACACCCCAAACCCAACTACCCTAACACCCCACGCCCTGAGCTTCAACCCCCAAGTCCCAATACCCTAAACTCCAAATGGGAGTTTCCGAAAATAGGGGACCCTAATATAGTACCCTAAATAGTAAAGAACCCCAAAATAAGGTACCCTAATTTTTGGAAACTCCCAAATACCCTGATACGCTAGCCCTAAACCCCAAATATCCTAAACCCTAAACCCTAAACCCTGAACCGTTATCCTAAACCCCAAGCCGGGTCTTCTGCGCAACACCGTAGTGGTCAACTAAGGATCTATTCGGAGAAAGCCGAGGACGCCCAGTTGTAGCCCTGTCTTCGCTGTGGTTGAGGGCTCTTGGGGTTTAATGGGTTTCCAAGGCTTCAGGTTTAGGGTTTAGAGTTTAGGGATTGGGGTTTAAGGTTTAAGATTAGGGTTTGGGGTTTTCAGCTTTATGGAGTTTGGGGCATGAGGGACCCCCTAAACCCTAAACCCTAAACCCTTGCTGAGTAAGTCATGCTTTCGTTCCGAACAGGCTTTGTCTATGAGTGATGTCTGCCAGGGCACAGCTTCAGGGCCAAAGAGCCTCACGCACCGTCGTTTAGGGTTTTAGGGTTTTAGGGTTTAGGGTTTTAGGGTTTAGGGTTTAGGGTTTTAGGGTTTAGGGTTTAGGATGGCCCCAAACCCTAAACCCTAAACCTGTTTACAGGTGATACATTCAGTGCTAATATATTGGCCGAAATGAATCCAATGGCTTCGTAATTATTCTGGTTATGGCACAAAAAAAACGCAAAAAAGCTTTTGCTAGTTAACGCCCCTATATTACCAAGAATCCGATCCGGATAGTTGTATGGATATCATTCCAGGAGTTCGAATCACAAGTTGATCCAAAACCCTAACGCATAAGGTTGACAAAATGGCCTTAAACCCTAAACTCCTAAACCCTATAAGCCCTAAACTCCTAAACCCTAAACTCCTAAACCCCTAAACCCTACACCCCAAACCGGAGGGATGCGGCTATCAGGCTTCAAGGGGGCCATGCCTTGACTGAGAAGTGCATGGGTTCCTTTAAGGGCTCTGCAGGGATTCCGCTAAGGGCTCTACAACGGATTTACAGTATGAGGGTCCTGCTAAGGGTTCCTTTAAGGGGCACTTCAAGGGCTCCACAACGGATCTATAAGGGTTTAGGGTTTAGGGTTTAGGGTTTAGGGGTACTGCGAGGGGTTTGGGAATCTTCACATGAAAGCCTTAAACCCTGAACCTAAACCCTAACTAAGCCCATATCTCTTGCCGATGTGGGCCCGCCACGGCATGCATCGATGCCAACCTGCAAAGCTGGCGATGGGGTTCAGGGTTTAGGGTTTAGGGCCAAACCCTGCCAACATCCAGTAAACAGCCAGATGACCACTCCCTAGAAGGTCAGATCAGCCAGATCTACCTCTGTAAGTAGAAAGTTACCAGGTTTAGGGTTCGGGGTTTGGGGTTTAGGGTTTAGGGGTTCAGGTTTAAGGTCAATCTGTTTCTGGTTTACGCCGGGAGTTCCTCAGAAAGGTTGGAGGGCACATTTGGGAGGATGCAGCTGAGGTTTTCCATGCAATAGCTTACTTTGCACATAAAGCGCAGTAAGGTAGAACATGGTCTAGGTTAACGGGCTCTGGAGGGTCCAAACCGGATCCCGCTGATAGCCGAAGCCGTCCTCAGGGAGTAGCTTGGGGTTTCAGAACTTGGGGGACTCGAATAGCAACCCTCAATGGCTGGATCCTTGTTTATGAGGCCCCGAGCTCAGGTAAACAACCCTTAATACACAAAGAAACTTCAATTAAACCCTGAACCCGTAAACCCTAAACTCAGGAGCGTGTCCACAAGCACTACAGCCTGCAATTCACTTCCGAGGCTTTTCGTCTTTGGTGCTTAGGATTTGGGGTTCACGGTTTAGGGTTTAGGATTCGGGATCGGGGCGATTCCTTAGGACTTTCGGGCGCTTTTAATTTCTCAAACCGGTCTCCCCACTATTTTGTTCTGGGGGGACGGGGGTTGGGGTTTCGTGGCATTTAAGATTTCGAGTACACGCAAAGTGGCCTTGTAGTTGGAGCGATTTCGTCTCAAACCCTACCGGGCCACTAACTATGAGGGCTTCTTGGAGGCTCTATCAAGAATAACTTAGCTTGCGGCTTCTGGTGGGGGCATCATGTACGTGTGAGCCCCGCAAGACAAAAGACTCGTTGGTGTTCCGCTTCGCATCATTGTCTCCTCCTATACGATGTATGGGAGCTTCAGAGAGCGATCCTGATTCGGAAGTACCCCAAACCCTACACCCTATATTCGGGAATGCAGGATACTTATTAAAAGTAAGATTCACTTTCAGCAATCTCCGTCACCTATAATGTTTGTGTGGTCTTTAAGCCTTAAATTTCCTAAACGCAGGTTTTTGTATTCCCCGCCAGCAGGACTAAAAAGATGAAGCTTGAGTTTCAGAGTTTCTCAACTTCACGGCCTACTGTAGCGGCCTGAAGAATTACCAGTTGCACTCCTAGGGTTCATGATTATAAGTGTAGCATTGATAGAATAGAGCCTGACGCCTTATGCTAAGCCCAACACGCCAATTCTTGCTCCAACGCCCTATTCTGACCCAAAGCCCATTGAAACAGCCAAAACCCTGAACCATAAACCCTAAACCCTAAACGTTAGTCTAGTAATTTAGGCTATGCTCGTACTCGGGCCACAGTCCGCGGTCTTTGTCATTGCGCAGGGCCTTCGGTCCCAACGAATTGGTGCTCAAAGCTTTGGGGTTTAGGCTTCAGGGTGTCAGGTTTCGGGTTAGCGCTTCTGGTTCAGGGTTTTGGATTAAGGGCTGCAGGGTTTAAGGTTTATGGTTCGGGCTTCTAGTTTAGGGTTTAAGGTTTAGGCAAATATAACGGGTCCGAGTTTTAGGTTTTAGGGGGAAGTTCTGCCGACGACGGAGACTTGCACCAGACGCAAGAAGGTCTTTGAGCTTCAAAATCTCAAGACTCTGTCATCTTCGCACAAGCAGCTGCTTTGCGACCCTTGTGTCAAGACCGAGCGGTACTTGCAACGTGTTGAGCTTCCAGAGCTGGACAACCCCTAAACCCTAAACCCTAAACCCTAACCCTAAACCCAAAGACAAGGACAGCCTGTTCCAGAGGTCCGCGGCTTTGACTTCCGAAGGTCGGAGCACGGACCGGCTGAAAGCGGAACTCTGCAACGTCTGGACTGTCAGGCTCACCAGACGGTTTAGGGTTTAGGGTTTAGAGCCGGTTGAAAACTCGAAGGGCGGCATGTTTTCAAGGAAGACGACATGTCAACCTCAACCATAATGTTAGCCAGGAGAGTAGTCAGAGCGATGATGGTCCTAGTGGTACGTGGTAAGTGTCTGGCAAACCCTGACATAGACTTTATACACAGAACAGTAGGTTTTAGTTGTTCAAGATAAACCTTAAAACCCTTTCGACAAGCAACCTCAAGTAGCTTCTGTGAGGTTTAGGGCCCTTAGGGCATTAAGGTTTAGGGTGCCGGATTCTCGAGTGAGGTTTAGGCGTACTAGTTTTGCTCGCGGTTCAGGGACTTCGGACTTTTCGGATGTTCAGGGCATATAGGGTTTTGGCTTGGCAGTAAGGGTCTTAGGATTTTCAGGGCTTCTCACCTTCAGGATTTTTAAGCGCGTTTTCACGAGTGCGCTTGGTGTACTCTTCTCTAGCTGAGGTTACATAAGGCGCTGTGGTGCTGTGCTTTCGTGCATGTCCTCAGGCTGATGAAAGATATTACGAGCCTTCCGACGTGGGAGACGCATCGCGACAACTAAATGCCTTCGCAGAGGAGGAGTCCCCAAAGAAGGTTCCTTGGTGGCATGAAACCCTAAACCCTTAGCGGCTGAGTAGGTAACCTTTAACCTTCATATAATCCTACCATAATTGAAAAGGTTCACCTTTTTTGGGCTAGGGTACTCGGCCCCTAAGAACCCTAAACCATGGTGCTTGTATATCAGGCTTTAGGGTTTGAAGTTGCATGCAGCATGTGGCCTTGACCCCCTTTTGGTCGAGGGGTGATG